CAGACTGAATTTGGAGTACATCAGAAAAAACAGTTGTGGGGAGGGTTCCTGCCAGCATTGACTACCCTGGGATCCAGGGGATTGACTGAGCAGGATTCTGTTGTTGTTGTTGTTGTTGTTGTTAATGCAGACAACCGGACACCGACACAGCAAACCGGACTGTCCGGTTTCATGTCCGGTTAACCGGACGTCCGGTTTGATCCAGACATGGGTCCGGTGTCTGTGTCCGGTTGTCCGGTTGTCCGGGTCAGGGGCAACCATGTATATTAGATCGATAGAAGCAAACAGTGAAAGTAGCCATAAATGAAAAATCCAGATATCCGGCAGACCAATTTTATCCGGAATTTACAATCTGGATGAAATTTCCGGATTAATTCCGGATATGGAAAATCCGGCCCTGCACAAAATACGTTTTTTAACTTTTAACCGAAAAAAAAGTTCAAAGAAATCTGGAAAAAAAGTATGTTGTTCATAGTAATGATACGAACAAGTTTTGGCTTGATGCCATCTTTGGTATCTTAACAGATATGAAGATAGAAAATAAAACACAAAAAGAAAGTAATATTTAAATTAAAAATTATCAAATGAAGTTTAATGAACTAAGCATCCCCCTTCTAAACCCCTTTATTCCCTATCTTACCCCCTTTGAACCCTTCCATGCTCAAGCTTTTCATAAAATAGGAACTTAGTTCTATTGCATTGTGCATGCGCAATCACCATGCATCAAGCCATGTGGTAACTACCCAACCTTAAAGCACCAGTACACCACACATCGGAACGTAGCTACCACAGATGCGAGCCGCCGGCGACACTCGGACGGAACACGTCTGATTGTCGCTCGAGCGGCATGCAAAAACGCAAACAAATACCTGTGTAAGGGTAATTGTCCCGACAGCATCCTCTTGCTTGATGTATGGTGCCATGGAACTTGTCTCGTCACAAAACATATCCCGCATGGCTTGATGTATGGTGCCGCGAAACTTGTCTCATGACAAAACATATCCCGCATGGCCTGTACATAGATGGGTAGGACATACCACACATGTCTCTATTGCTTTTCCTTCCAGGATCCTTATGCCTGTGTCGGACTTGCGGGAACTTGACAAAGTACCTCGTTTGACTTGGTCCCATGTTCTATTAGCACTGCTCTACTTCCCCGCCCCCCCCCTTTTTTTGTCCATTATTTTGTTTTCTCAATTGATGTGTCTCATCCATCCTTGCACAGGGACCATGCGAATCTTCTCTGTATCGTTCCGATTTTTTATGGATGTCCTGAAGGACAATTTCGTTTTGCTCATTGTTGTTCCTTCCTTACTCCCTGGTCCTTCCGTTCCTGTTCAGTCCTTTGCCCCACAGCTTTCTGGGTCCTTTCCCATTTTCCCTGCCAGCACATACATGTGCACACACCTGTAGAGGGGGACAAAAAGGGTTGGCTCTGATAGGAATTTTTTTTTTTTTTTTTTTTTGAAGGCTAAGTGCCTGACCCAATTCAATCTTCTGTTGAATCTCAACGATTGGATAAGTAGCCTACCAGATCGAAATTTTGTCGAATATGACAGGATGGCCTTTATAACCATTATTATAGTATTACTGGGAACCCCATAGCAGCCACAGCCATGTTCACAAGAGAACATGTGGGGGCTGCACCCAACCTGTGGGTGGGCGATACTGGCCAGGGGTCAGCCCGTATCATCAGGACTGAGCACTTTGGGCCAGGCACTGCACCTCCCCTCCCATACCCTTCCCCTACCAACATCAGCAGTATCTGCTGATCGGGGGGCCAATGGAAAGGAGCAGCCATCCCCGGCCCAGGTCTGAACCTTGGTGGTTCTCTTATCACCACGGAGGTTGTCACCTGGCCACTGATAATTAGAAAAAAAAAGAAAAAAAAAAGGATTGGAGTTTTGAATAAGGTGGCTAGACCGGCCAGAGTTGGTGGTTTGGGTGCCAGCCCTGCTGACAGCGATCTACCAGGAGGCTGTAAATAAGCATAGGCAGCTGCTCCACAATACACAACCAAGCGAGTCCATGTTGGATTAGACGGGCCCTGGATCCCTTAGTCGAATGAGTCCAGGGAAATGGGCGTGGAATGAACAATGAAGGCCTGGTACCTGTGCGGTGTCCTGCTTATTGCTCACTCCTCTCCTTGTTGTCCCCTATTCAGGGTGCAGATCGATGGTGGGATCCACACTGTGGTCCTCCGCGACTACAGGCAGGCCAAGTTCTTCTTCCCTTCTTTGATCTGTTTTTCATGCTTGCCAGTGATAAGCAACCGGACTGCCGCCCCCAAGAATAGAAGGGACTGTGTGTGTGCTGTGTGCCAAAAAAAAAGAGAGAGTACTTATCTCCGCTTGAAGACCCCAACCTGAGCAACTCACTGATCAACCTAATAACGTCATCTGATGCCGGCTGAACACTAGTCAACAATGAAGAAGTACAAGCTAGCTTACAAACCGAGCAATGCCAATCAAGTACCACTACATTAGCAATGACAATCATCACTATAGGCTGTTATCGCATCACCACACCCCTTTTCCTTCCAACTGTCAGCCATACACCTCGTCCTTCCATCTGTTCCCTTTCTCCACTAATACAGACAGGACAGGTGGCCAGAAACTTCTCACTACCACCCAACAGCAGCAGGTACCATTCTCATCAACTCACCTGATGGTAAGTGCCAAGCAGCTCTGGTACCAAATTGCAACGAGACCGTCGAGAAGAAACTCAAAGCATGCATACATTACACTCCCATTGACCGGCATAGACATGGTGAGAAATGGCAAAGCACTGATCAAATCAACCATACGGTCCACTCATGATGATGCTGCCCACCCGCCCTGCTTCAAACATATACCGAGGCCGGGGTCTCTACCGGCTTTTGGGCCTACAAGTATCCCTACCAGCTCACTACCGTCTTCACCCGAATAAACGCCCGCTCATTATTGCTGCATCTGGACCGAAAGTTGGGCCAAATGCAGCTATAATGACCGGGCGTTCTATTCGGGTGAAGACAGTAGTAACCCGACTCAGACTTGCCTGACCTACTACAAAACAGGCCAGCCAAATTCATCTTAGGCCCCAATCAGGGCTTCACGAGAAGATGTTAAAAATAAACAAATAAATAAAATGGCGTGCAGGCATGGAGGTCGTCTTTGGAGGTGGTTGTGACCTAACAGAATTTTCAAAAGGATTGTGTCTCCTCTTATTCATCACTGTATAATATGTGTATATACTCTCTACTCTTGGCTGCTGAGAAAGGGTCCTATCATCGACTCCTATGCTTAGTTTCGGTACGTTGCTAGGAATGTGTCAATTGACTTCATGGCCAACGTTTTGGAAAATCGAAACACACTATTGACGTGTGTCACAAGTTATCCCTGGGGAGGAGTCTGTTACCCAAATTCGTGAGTTCTGACTATAGATTGGGAAGATCAACAGCCAGAAATGAAGGATTCAGCCAAGTGGGACTTGGTCCCTGGTGGATGAATGACTCTCTTCGAAGTTCAAACAGTCATTGTCAAATATGACTGCGTTTGGAACAAAGGGAACAAATGTTTGATCCTCTGTCATTTGCTGGCAATTCCTCATGTCATTTTTAGGGGTAAGTACGTTCATGTCACCTTTGAGTATTGAATGGGCAAAAAAAACACGCGTCGGCAAAGAAAACCGCGCCGAGTTCGAAAAGGCAACGGAAGTACCGACGGCCGTGGTGTCAGACCGGGTGTCGTATTTACAGGGGTCGGCTGTGGTGTCAGAGGGGAAAACAACAACAAAAAAAGAAAACGCCCAACGGATACCTTTTGGACTGCAATCGCTCATTTCGATTTAGCCCGTGGTTTCTTTGCCTGCGCGAGTTTTTTTTGCTTTTAGGGTTTCAAAACATGCCGCGTCCGCCGTTATGTCTCATTTTTATCTCCTTCTGGTCAATCTGAAACAGTTTTCACCTTTGGCAGTAGCCGATGCAGATCCCAGGGGGCGATCGCTTGACCTCAGCTTACCTGTGT